AGAAAAATGTGTCATGACTTTTCCAACAACACAATACTTTCTCTCTCTCTCTTTATTTTTTAAGACAGATTTTTGCTATAAGGTGTGAGTGCTCACAGGAGAGAAAGAAAGCAAGAAATCATGCCCCAGAGGGCATAGCCATGCCACAATCCCTTCTCCTCCATTCTCCTTTTGGGATTTTGGGCATGCATGAACAGGTAACTGGCATGAATTTCAAACCTCCAGGTTTGGGATTCAAACCGCAGTGGCCATGTGGAGCCCAGTGATGTAACCATTATATCATCTGTTGGTCCCATCTCAATGACCCAACACTTTCATGACTTGCTAATTACTGCACGTATTTCTGTTGACTGCATGTATGAGTTCTTCCCTTCCCCTCACCTTTTTTTTTCCTTGAGAGATTTCTGCTATCAGAGAGACAGAGACAGAAAGCAAGAAATCACTCCCTAGAGGGGATGGCATACCGCAATCCCTTCTCCATTCCCCTCTCAGGATCTTGGGTACGCCCGTACATGCACCCGGCAAGAGATTAAGCCGCCAGGTCTGGAACTGGAACCACAGTGACTATGTGGGTGTCCAGCGACCTAACCATTACCCCATCTGCTGGTCCCTCCCCTCCCCTTTTAGCAGTGAAAGATGGAAATTTTACAGGGATTTAAAGACTAAACTGCTGAGACCAGATTAGCTATACTCGTCCCTGGGAAGACTGGTAGAAATTGAAGTTCTGTTGGTAGAAACTGACAGCTGTAATGATGGAAACTGAAGTTACTGTTCTTGAACTTCTAACTGAACCACAAAGTGCCCATGTTTGGGTACCCGAGAGCACCTAGCCCTCCTGCTACCTTACTGTATGAGCCTCATGAACTTGTCAAATCATCAGAGGACGGGCTTGTGTAGGTGTGGCCCAACGAGGGCGGTATCTTGACCTAAGGAACTCAACCCCGCAGTCTCAGTGCTGCCTGTCAAGGGACTTCCTCTTTCCCCATTTGCCATGGCCCTTACCAGGGTCTGTGCCTAGTCACCGTCACCCAGTTAGAAATAACAGAACTTAAGCTTGTTTTTTGTGTGTGTGTTTTTTTTTTTAATAATTATTTTATGGGGGGAACCAGCTGGTGATGTGGTGGTTAAAGCACTGGACACTCCCACATGGCCGACCATGGTTTGAGTCTTGGATCTGGTGGCTTGCTTTCTCCCTTTCCCTCTCTCTCGGTGTCACTCTCTCTCTGGTCAAATTAAAATGAATGAATAAATAAATTAAAAAAAAAATAACAATTATTTTATGAGACCAGCAGATAACATAATGGTTATGTTGCTAGACTCCCCCATAGTTGGCTATGGTTCAAGACCTGGACCCAGCGGCTTGAACTCATGCTGGGTGTGTGTGTGCGTGCGTGCGTGCCCAAGACCTCGAGAGGGGAATGGAAGAGAAGGGATTGTGGTGTGGCCATCTCCCACTTGGGGAGTAATTTCTTGCTTTCTGTCTGTCCTTCTCTTTCTGGCAAGCACACATGTCCTATAGCAAAAACCTCTCCAAAAAAAAAAAAAGAACTATTTTATTAAACTTTATTTTATTTATTTATTTAAATTTGACCAGAGAGGGACAGAGTGAGAGAGAGAGAGAGAAAATGAGAGTAAGCCACCAGGTCCAGGACTCAAAATGTGGCTGGCCACCTGGGAGTTCAGCACCCTTAATCACCACACCACCTGGCCCCCCAGGTCATAAGCTTGTGCTTTAAATGTGCCACATATTCAAAATGGATTCTCCTTAGGAAAAAACAGAAGTGATGTCTAGAATCTGCCCACTCAGGCATCCCACAGATCTAAAGAGGATGAGAACCTACCGGAAAGCAGTGCTCAGTTACCAAGGTATGAAGCCGGTCATGGTCTGAGCTAGAATAGAAGGAGAGACATATTAGTGACTCCTGCTTAAATACTCTCTGAAAATAGAAAACAATTCAATTCATTATTATAACCTTTTCTGCACATCTACTGTAACCCAGGTAATAAGCTAACCTCCAGAGACACAAAGATGAAGAGTAACATGATTTACGAGAAAATCTTGGAATTTAATAGCAGAGTAAAATTATGTTTGAACCTCAAGAACAGAAATAAATTTCTCTGAAATTAGTATGCATCTTTAAGATGGCAGAGACCAGGCTAGCAGGTAGCGTGGAGGTTAAGGCTCTGGATCCCATATGGCCAATTGTGCAGTACGAGCCTTGGACCCAGGGGCTTGAAAATCACTCCAGGCACATGTGGGTACATATCCAAAATCCTGAGAGGAGACTGAAGAAGGGATTGTGGCGTGGCCATCCCCCTGGGCAGCGGGAGTGGTTTCTCACTTTTTCTCTCTCTCTGGTAAGTGCACACGCCCTTATAGCAAAAATTAAAAAAAAAAAAAAAATGGCAGAGACCCTGGCTGAGACACAGGACTGGCTTTTGCTCGAAGCTGGCTGGAATACAAGGTCCAAACACTTACAGCAGTCAAAGCTCCTTATCTTGTCTCATCTCTGACACACCTTGTATCTTACAGTCCCATTTCTGAACCTTGTCAGATAATCATCTGTCTTTTCTCCCGTCCTCAGCTTGATTGCTGCCAGAGTAGCCTACTCATGCTAACTATGAAGTAATAGGATGGAAACAGCTCCAGGAGACAGGAATTTAGGAGGGCTTTTTTTTATTTATTTATTTTGATTTTTTAAAATTATTTTTTGGAGACGTTTTCGCTATAGGGCGTGTGCGCTCGCCAGACAGACAGAGAAACATAGAGACAGAAAGCGAGAAATCACCCCCCAGGGGGGATGGTCACACCGCAATCCCTTCTCTTCCATTCTCCTCTCAGGATCTTGGGCACGCACGCACACACGCCCGGCGTGAGTTTAAGCCACCAGGTCCGAGACTTGAACTGTGCTCGACTACGTGGGAGTCCAGCGACATAGCCATTACGCTAACTGCTGGTCCCTAGGAAGGCTTCTAACTGAGGCATTACAAATAAACCTACAACCCACAGATTCCTCTCTTCCAGACACACGTGCATGACTTTTCACTACAGTTTACTATTTTATGGGCAGTTTACCTCTCTGTCCTCTTTGAAAAATGTTGTTCTCTAATCCCCAAGTGGGTAAGGGATTAGTTCTAACGTGATTAGCTGCTTCCCTTCCACCTCCACTGCTAATGGAAAACATTTCAACACATTTCCCTCACTGCAGGACTAGACTAGACTGAGGTGTGATGACAACTACCATGACAACCACCATGGCTGGCACCTCTGAACGAACTCTTCCTACTCACTATCCTGGCCTAGAAGACTTCAGTAGAAATAAATTCCAATTTCTTTGAGTTTATTTACCATTTGACAGTAGGACTTATACTGAAAATAAAAGACAGACAGACATCGGCATCCTCAACATAATAGCCTGAGCTAATGTGAAACCATTCCCACTATAGACATCTAGAAATGCAGGATAAAACAGAATACAGACATACACACGTTTAGACACTCCAGCTCAAACCCTTGTGTGGCAGAAAGGAAGAGGAACCAAAGCCAGAATGGAAAGAATGCAACAGAACAGCATCAGGAGTGCGTGAGGGATCCAGAAATAGATCCTAACAGCTAGGAGACTGACTCTTCCTGAAAGCCTGGGCCCCTGAAGGGTTGGGAGCTGGACCTGACGTTCCCGCATAAAGCGATGACTCTCAAAAGGAAAGGAAGACTAGAAAGATAGTCCACCAATCTAGAGATAAAGCTCCTCTCTGTCTAGGGTTGAGGAAAAAAATAAATAAAAATAAAAATTCAAAGCTTGGGACCAGCAGATGGCATAATGGTTACATTGTTGGGCTTCCATGTAGTCAACTGTGGTTCAAGTCCCAGATCTGGGGGCTTAAGACTTGTGCTGGGTGAGTGTGCATACGTGTCCAAAATTCCAAGAGGAGAATGGAGAAGGGATTGCAGCATGGCCATCCCCCCAGGGGGTGACTTCTTGCTTTCTGTCTCTTTGTCTCTCTCTTTCCAGTGAGCACATGCTCCCTATAGCAAAAATCTCTCTTTAAAAAAAGCAAAGCTCTAATTCTAAACCCAAACCACGCTCAGGTATGGTCACGAAATTCATGGTAACTATATGGTATAGAAACTCTTAAACTAAGAAATTAACAAAAAAAGTGATACCTGGCCAAATGATACCTCTGGGGTGTCTGGTGAAAACACAGATGCTCACTGGGAGCACATTTATAGCTTAGGTGGTTTGTAATTCCCTCAGAAAAAATCATCGCCACTGAAGATCTGTTTATAATGAAACATTACAAAACACACCTGGAACCTACCTATTGATAGCAAAACTCCACAGACACGGACGTCAAGCAAAACAATGGCATGAGGAAGCTCTAGGATTGGTCTCTCTCCAAAAACAGGAAAACTGATCAACTATTAATATTTTGCAAGTCTAGTCTTCCCTGGACACTTCTGGCGACCATGGGAATGCTCGATGAGGGAGACTGAGAGACTGCCTTCCACCCCGCCCCCGCCCCCGCCTGACGTGGGGATGGGGACCTGCACTGAGAGAGGATGGAGGCGCTAGGGTGGGCAGCAGAGGCCATGCTCTGCAGCGGCTCAGAACTGCATTTTGGTCGCTCTGAGGGACAGCACAGGCCTTGGTTTTGGTCCTTTTAGCTTCAGTGGCTTCACCCCCACCAGCATCCATCAGAAGATTAAAGTGGATAAGTACCCCTGTTTTTTTTTTTTTTTTTTTTACACTTACTTATTTCTTCCATGAGTGACAGAGAGAGAAAGAGAGTGAGCACCCCACCAGGGATGCCACACCATGATACACCCCCAGCCTTGTGCCAGCCGTTGGTCACAGGCAAGCGTATACGTGGTGCACTGGAGGAAGTCTCTGGACTTGAATCAGGAATGTTCCCTGCAGGATCGCCTCGCAGAGCATCATGTTCTACCCCCACATCGCTGTCTGGCCCCCTGTTTCATTATTCAGCCAGACAGGGAAGGAAATCTGTTTCGGGTCACTGGCTGACCACAAAGATAATGAAACAGAAACTCAGTGACTACACACAAGAAATATACAGCTAACTAAATGAGTTTGGGAAAGTCACAAATGAGCAGTGACAGCCCCGATGAGCCAGGTCAGCAGTTCCTGCACAGGGAGAATCTAATTCCAGTTACCATACTGTAATACTCAGACCGTCCAGTTCTCCACACAGTATTACAATGCATGTAAAGAAATAGAGAAGCACAGTCCATTCTCAGGGCAAAAAGAATATGACAGAAACTGTCCCTGAGGAGATCCAGACATTGGGATCACTGGTCAAAGACACAGCAGCGGCACAACGCTCCTGATGCTGCAGCCACATGGTATGGGCCACGTGAACCCTGGGTTCATGTCCCAAGGGTCTCCTTGCACACATGTAAGCCTTTGATCCTGGCTGGCTGAGGCTGGGGTAGGTAGGCCCATAGTGTGAAGATCCTGCTGGAATGCCCTCTACTCCATCTCTCTCCCTCCCAGTAAAAAGTAAGAAAAAGAAACTTGGGGGTAAAAATCAAAGAAAGAAAGAAATTCTAAAGGGAATTCTTTAGGTTGAAATAAAAGGACAATGGATAGTAATTCAAAGCCACTAGAAAAAGAACACTGGTAAATGTAATAGACAAATAAATATAAAAGCCAGTACTACAGCCCTTTTCTTTAATTCTTCATTTTTAAAAATATATATATATAGTTAAAAAGGCAAATACATAAAGCAGTAATTGTAACTTCATTTTAATGGGCACTCCGTGTGTAAGGATGTAACCCAGGCCAGTTGGTAGTACAGTGGTTGGGGCAGCTGGGTCCCACATGGCAGACTACACAGTCTGAGTCTTCTTTATTTATTTATTTATTTTTGAGAGGTTTTCGCTATAGGGTGCATGCGCTTGCCAGACAGACAGAGACAGAGAGGCAGAAAGCGAGAAATCACCCCCTCAGGGGGGATGGCCATGCCACAATCCCTTCTCCTCCATTCTCCTCTCAGGATCTTGGGCATGCACGCACACGCGCCTGGCGTGAGTTTTAAGCCACCGGGTCCAGGACGCGAACTGCGGTTGACTACGTGGGAGTCCAGCGACATAGCCATTACGCTAACTGCTGGTCCCACAGTTTGAGTCTTGTACCCAGTAGCTTGAGAAACACTTTAAGCATGTGTCCAAGTGTGCTCAAGATCCCAAGAGGAGAATGGAGGAGAAGGGACTGTGGCATGGCCATCCCTCCTGGGGAGAGTTTTCCTTTTTTTAAAAAAAAAGAAACTATTTTACTTCATTTTATTTATTATTATTATTATTATTATTATTATTACTATTTTTAATTTGCTATAGGGCACTTGAATTCACCAGAGAGAAACAGAGACCGAGAGAGAGAAGGAAAGTGAGAAAGCAAGCTTTCTCTGGGATTCGAACTGTGGTCAGTCATGTGGGAGTCCAGCATCTCAACTACCATACCACCTGCTGGCCCTGGGGAGAGCTTTCTTTCTCTCTTTCTCTCAAGTGAATGCACGCACTCTATAGCAAATTAAAAAGAACTTTTTAAAAGATAAAACCTATGGGGAACCAGCAGTTAGCATAATGGCTATGTTGCTGGACTCCCACGTAGTCGACTGCGGTTCGTGTCCCGGACCCGGTGGCTTAAAACTCATGCCAGGTGCGTGTGCATGCGTGCCCAAGATCCTGAGAGGAGAATGGAGGAGAAGGGATTGCGGCGTGACCATCCCCCCTGGGGGGTGATTTCTCGCTTTCTGTCTCTATGTCTCTGTCTGTCTGGCGAGCGCACGTGCCCTACAGTGAAAATCTCTCCAAAAAAAAAAAAAAAAAGGTAAAACCTATGATAACAATAAAAAGGAACAGTGTTCATACA